GCTAAGAAGGGCCGTGCGTTCCGTGTGATCGTGGTGGACAGCCGGCCGCGCCTGGAGGGRCGGGAGACGCTGCGCCGCCTGGTCCGGAAGGGAATCCACTGCACCTACGTGATGATCAACGCCATCTCCTACGTGCTGCCTGAGGTGAGGGGCTGTGCCAGGGGCGAGGGGAACTGCAGGGTGATCAAAGGTGCTGACAGACCCATCTGCTTCCCTGACAGGTGTCCAAAGTGCTGCTGGGAGCCCACGCGCTCCTGGCCAATGGCTCTGTCATGTCCCGGGTGGGGACGTCGCAGATTGCACTGGTCTCCAAGGCCTACAATGTGCCTGTCCTGGTCTGCTGCGAGACCTACAAGTTCTGCGAGCGGGTGCAGACAGATTCTTTTGTCTCTAACGAGCTGGGTATGGCTTCTGTGACCTTCTTCCATTCCCTGCTGTAGACCATGACAGGCTGCTGTGCCCTGCTGTCCCCTTCCTGGGCAAGGGGCCACCACTTGCAGGCAGGGGGGGCCTCGCAGGCAGGGGTGGTGTGCTGCTCCAGGGGCACAATGCAGAGGTTCTGTTCCTCCCCCCGATTTTCATGGCTTTTCCTCTCTCTGCAGATGACCCTGATGACCTCATTGTGCTCCGGAAGGGCCAGGCCCAGCTTGGGGACTGGGCAGAAAACAAGTCCCTGCGCCTTCTTAACCTGGTCTATGATGTGACACCCCCAGACCTGGTGGATTTAGTCATCACAGACTTGGGCATGATCCCCTGCACCTCAGTGCCTGTGGTTCTGCGTGTCAAAAATGTGGATCAGTAGTCGGACCAGCTGCACAGACGTTAATAAACCAGGCCCCCAGTACCCCGCTTGTACCATCTGTGGTGTGGCAGAGCCCTGACACCTGTGTCATCCATGTCACACTGGCACAGCTCTGCCCCTTCTTTAGGGCCTGCTGRTCCCAGACCCTCTCCTCCCACTCCAGGCCTGCAGCAGGGATGGGTCTCCCCTATTCTTAGGCTGCTCCTCTGGAAAGGTGTCGTGATGGCCCCTGGCTTACCCTGCTGGGAGCTTTGGTGACACTCAGGCTGTCCCCAGAGCTGGGCTGGTGGGGGAGAGCCTCAGTCCCTCTGGCTGTGGCTTCTGGCACCAGCCCCAGAGAGGGCCCTTATTTTGGGGGGCTGGCCGGGCAGCGGGCGGTGCCCGGGACAGTGAGGCTGTGGGGAAGCTCCACCGGTGCCCCATGGCCGGAGCGGGACCAGCGCGTGGCAGGAGTGGGGTCAGCGGGGCCGGAGCGGGGCCAGAACGGGGTCGGAGCGGGACCAGCGCGTGGCTCCCGGGCCGCCACGGACGGGTCATGCAAACTGGGACGCTGTCAGAGCCACTCTGCTCTGGCAGGGGCGGGACTCAGCAGAAACCTCATCGGGCGGGTCATGCAAATTAAAATTAAGATCCACCGTACGGAATGACGGGGCACAGCCCGCACAAAAATGCCCAGCCCTGGCGCGTCCACGGGCGTGTGGATCGGCCGCAGTGTGAGCTCGGGTCCGGGCGGGGTGTGGGGTGAGGTGTGCGGTGGTGGGGCTCGTCCCTGCCGGAGTTGGGAGCTCATACTCACCTGGCAGGGGAGACACCGTGATCACGCAGCTGGTTTTCGCAGAGTAAGGTTCATTCTTATCACTCCAGGTGTGCTGACCCCTGTGCTTTTCCCAAATGCGGGGAGCTCGACTGCATCGTTTGCAGTAACGGGGGACTCTGTTTGCACTCTTCCTTGAATTTATTGTTCAGTGGAAGAGCTTTAATCGGAATTAGCTGTACGTGGTCTGCCTTTGCAGGAGCAGTGGGAGTAGCCCGGCTCCCGGGTGTCTCAGTGCCCGGTGTCTGTCCCGTCTCCATCTGTGCGGGAGTGGCCCCGATCGCCTTTCCTGGCTCCAGCCCGCGGGCTGAGAAACGGCTCCGGCCTGACCCCGTGCATCAGGGTGCAGTGGGACGGCGAAATTCGGGTTTGCGGCCCAGCACACACACCGACCTCGCAGGAAATGCGGCCATGGGGAGAGACTTCATCCGATTCGGGATGTGTCAAATTCCCTCCTGGAACTCCGGCTGAACTCCGGCGTCAGTGAGGCAGTGCTCATCAAGTAGGACTGGCATCTCCCTGCCCCTTCCCCAGTGAGGACCCATCTCACTGGGGTGTTTTCCTGCTCCTGCACACAGGATGTGGGATAGGCTCAAATCATCCCAACAGAGGCCCCTCTAGGGATCCGCTGGCCAATTCTTGCAGGGAATGAGGACATGTCTCTCGGGCACCAGCAGCACCTGATCGGATTGGGTACCCTGGAATGCCCCTGAATCCCCAACTGTTCTCAAACTGTGCACCAAGAGGGTGACCAGACTGACCTCACACCTGCCAGAGCACCCCGGACCCCTCGTGGATCACCCCCTACACACCTGCGTTCCCAGATCCCACTGCTCCCGTATGTCCCTCACCCCATCCTCCATCCAGCACCAGGCTCTCCTCTGTCCTCTCAGACCGCCTGGGACTCCTGTTCAGCACTGCTTGACACAGAGCAGTGTGTTGGTTTTGCTTGACCCCACGGTGCAACAGTTTTGGGACAACTGTCTGCCCATGGGGGGACTCACGCAGCAGCAGATGTGTGTGGACTGCCGCTCGTGAGAGTGGAACCGCGCCGGAGAGGTTCACAGAGATCTGTCTCCCGTGGGAGGGACCCCACAACAACGCAAGGGAAGGACTCCTCTCCCTCAGCAGCCGCAGTGATCCGGTGATGAACTGAGCAACCCCACACCCTGTTCCCCCACCGTGCTTTGTACTGTCAGTGAGAAGGGGGGAGGCAGTGGGGAGAAGATCGGTGTTTTTGAGAGTTTTATTTCTCATTCTCCTCCTCTGACTTTGTTAGTAATAAATTCACTTTGTAACTTAAGTGGAGCCTGTTTTGTCCATCAAAATGTTTCCTCCCTATTCCTCCCCCAACTCATGAACCCCTTTGCTATTTTTTTTTCCCTTTGCTCTCCTCTGCCCAGTGGTGGTGGGGGAAGAGCGGAGTGAGCAGGTGACGTGGGTCTTTGCCTTTTGGCCACCGTTCTAACCACGACAAGGAGTTAAGTTCATAAACACCGTAACTAAGTTTTTAGCGGGTCGCACGCCCTCCACAGCTGTCACTGAACCAAATCGCCAGGACACAACTCGTGCGCGTTGCAGCAGCCGCAAACGCTGGGCGACCGACCTCTTACATTCACGGAAACCGCAGCGATGAACACCCCATCACAGTTAACAGCTTCTCCACACAAAATCCCCAACACTGCCCAGCGCCCTCCCCGCACATAGAAAGAGCCACATTCTTCTCACGGACCAAGCGTACCGGTCACACACCTATGGAGAACACGGTTACCCTGTGCCAGGTTTCACACAGACTCAACCCAATGCTGTAGTTTGATCTGTGCGAGCGCAGCCCCGCACAGTGCCCGCAATGCGAGAAAAGCAGCGGCGTTCTCAGCTGGCTGTTCCCGTCATTCCGTGCGGTGCATTCATTTGCATGCCCCGCCCCGTGAGGCGCCGTTCTCGCCCCACCCACGCCCGTCGAGGCCTAGTGACGTCATCASTGGGTCCGGTCCCGGTTCCGGTGCGGCGGCGGCGGCCCCGGAGCCCCCGATGGCGTCAGGCACCGCCCGMAGGCCGTCCTGCCGGGAGCGGAGCGCTCGGGAGCGGCCGGGACGGCGAGCGGGGTCTGCCGGGCGCAGCCGCAGCCGCAGCGGGGAGCGGGAGGGCGAGCAGAGAGCGCTCCGTACGTACCGGGGGTGGCCGGGGCACGGCGGGGGCGCTCCCGGGTGGAGGCGGTGCCACCGTGCCCGGTGCTGCGGTGCTGCACCCGGTTCTGGGGCTGATTGCGGTGTTTGGGGCAGGGGCGGAGCTGGCGGCGGGAGATGCGGACTGTGCGGACGGAGGAGAAGCCAAATCCCCGCACAAACCCCGGGGCAGTCCCGGTGGAGCGGGGTACGGGCACGGAGAGAGCTCCGCCAACGGAGCGGTGCCGGCCCCGGGGGCTCCCCGCAAGCGGGGCAGGAAGAGCAAGGCCGAGATGCTGCTGCTGGAGCTGTCGCAGAGCCCCCCGCCCGTCCCGGGGCAGAAGGGGCTGCGGGACAGCGAGGAGGGCGATGGCCGGGACACCCCCGGGACCGGGCGGCCCAGGAGAMGGGCGGCCAAAGTGTAAGTGATGTGACAATGGGGGGACCTGG